TGTGCCACCTTCCAATCTTTCTCGAAGTAGCTAAGCCTAATTTCGCGAATATGCGGGTGGTTTTTCGAGCATATTCTTGTAGAGGAAATCAAATAGATCATTTCTAGAAAAAACCCGCACTCAATATTCAAATTCTATCGAGAGCAAAAAAAAGCCGCGAAAAAATCCGCAATAATTATGCATCAACCTAATAGTTTAAACTTTTTTCAATGGTTTCACCGTACGCATAAATGACTCTGTCACGCCACCGTGCGCTTTGGGGAGTTTGTCATAGAATCCACTGGCTTTTTCGCACAACAAGTTCTAACACCTTTAACACCAGAACCTATATTTTGGGCGTGAAGTCAAGCAGGATCACTGAATCGATTATGACAGGGGATCATGATCATGATAGTGACTGGGCATGAAATTCAAATCAATGACTTTTTATGGATGGCAACGTCCTGTTGCCGGGCCTTTCTGATGACTCATGGCATCCGCATTCGAATGCTGCGATACGAATGTTTCCTTCCACAAAACCCGTGCTAGGAAAAAGGTACCCACAAGAAGTCGAAACTACTGCTCTCTAAAACCCTACAATCCATTCCTTGACTTCCTCACTGAGCCTTCTTGATCGATTATTTCGGTTCGCTGCGCTCACGATTTCACTGGAGGTATGTCTGCTGACGGTTAATGTGTCAATTCTGATCGCCTCCTAATAAGTAGGCCAGAAAAGGGAGAGGTATTACCTTAAGTTCTGTTAGTTTCTCGGTTACCGGCTTGATTGCACCTCCGAGCTAGGTCGTGGTTTTGGTATCTCCACACTACGTCTTGAGCGGTTGATATTTCTGACGAAAAGCCTAATTTTTGCTCTTTCATCACCCTTGAAATGGAAGAGAACTTAATCTAAGTTACCTATTGTTATCAATGGTTGATTGCGGGATTAAGTTGTTGTTTTCATACGTCCTAATTTCGGTCTATACCTGTCACATTTAAGGGTCGAGGGACTGATGCAAGGCTGTGATCCTCCTTCCTTGGGTAATTTCCAAATTTTGGGCTATCAAAGTGCAAATTTGCGTGCGCTTCTGAATATAGAGTTCACCTTGCCACCCAGTGCGAGCCTCCCCAGTGAGATCATTTTTCCTTAATTGAAATTTCAGCCGATTAGTCTGCATTATCATCTCATTATATTGAGGCAGAACAGGCTTTCGTTTCAATCTATTTGTAGCCGTCTAAGGTTGTTTGTTATAAAGTACCAAAATTGTGTGTACTGCATTATTGGCAGGTCTTGATAGACGAATATTTACCATTTTATGGCATTTGGTATGGCTTTACATTTGAAAAAAAAATCACACGAATTCTTTAAGGCATAAGTATATGTATATTGAATGGAATGGGNTTTTTTTTTGTTGTGCTTCTCTGGCTTACTTCATCTTTTCAGAATAGAATCGAACCGTTCCTACCTTCCGATCCTAGCCAATCTCCCTTTGCCAAAAAAGCTGAACCACGACAAATGCCTCGGCAACAATTCAAACCTGAACGGGTAAGTTAATATTCGATCAAGTTAGCTTAAAATTGTTTCAGTGTTACAAAAAAACAGTGGTCGGTTGGTAAGCTTTCATTTCCCCTAATTCAGGTAAGCATTTATGATGGTGTTGAGCCAGAATACACTCCAAAGTCTGCTGCTCCTCAAGATGATGTTCCTGATAGTGACTCCGATTCAGACGATCTTATGAATGAAACCGGTGTCTACTCAGATGAAGAGAGACCACCAAATAAGGTATTTATTTTGTTGCTGCTTGTGCAACTGACTGCGGTATTCCCTAAAATATGCAGATAAACTTGATTTTCGTATGTTATTATGTAGTTTTCCTCACATTCTCAGTTATTTAATAGGTGGTGCTTTAAAATTCAACATTTTGAATGCTCGATAAGATTAAAGAAATATAAAATCTATTTTTGAGATTCTTTCTTGCAATAGCCTTTCTTTTGCATGTTTGAGTTACTTTAGAGCGGGGCAAGAGGAAGGCAGCCAGCTGCTCGACTAAAATGATGGCATCTTACAAGAGTTATTAGATATGATCGTGTTGAGCGCGAATGATGTTCGAAAAACAGTTCAGTAGTTTTCTAGTATCAAACCATGTATAGATAAAGAGTTTTATAATTTTCTATAGTGTTGGGGTTTTGGGGTAGCGCTTCGCCATATTTTTATAAGTCAATGGGCGAAAAGCGAAACCCAACCGACCTTGTCAGATTAATAAGCCGTACCAATAATAAGAGTCAGACAGATTAAGNCTGTTAACTTTTACCAGCCTCTAGTTTCTCATAAATAGCCTTGAAATTCATTAGAGTTTTCTCGAGAGACCTGATCAGGGTTCAATTTATTGATTGGAGCTGCAGCGCCAAGAAACTTACTGTTGCTATTTAGCAAGCCGATTCATTGTGCTGAATTATTTTAAGGACAATAAATAAAGATTATTATTTGTGTTACATACGATTATACTCATTTATTCTTTTCTTTTATATGTTTCTTTTACTTCCTTCGAATTCGTACAGGAAGAATCGAAAACACGAGAGAGTGAGTTTGGCGCCACCAACGATTGGAAGTCGAAACAGCCGGCCCCAGCGCCGAAGCCTAATCTTCATTCATCGACCTCGAACCGATTAGGCGACGGGCCTCCACCACAGTCTCCTTCAATGATGCGGCAGGTTGTCGTCTTTCGCAGCTTTTTCTCTATTCTTATTCATTGCTCTGAATTGCAGCCTGCAAATATCGGTGGTATGCCACAGTCCTGTCCAAATCGATGGGAAATGCTTAATAACGAAATGCCCGAAGTGGTTAAACCGGCAGCAAGGTACGAACGGCCATCGTCTTCAGTACCCCATGCCCCTGTCAAAACGGAATCGTCGTCGAACGCTTTTGCACAACCACCACCTTCTTCGGTTCCACGTCATCGCTCTGCTTTCGAAGCTTGCAAATCTAATACCGGCACTCAGGAGGTATTTTCGCAGTTGAAAATCCTAGTTCTGTATAAGAACTATTTTAGTATGTGTCTTAAGGTGAGGAACGAGTCAAGGCAGCTTCGGGAGAATGACGTTCCCCTCGACAGGGATACAAGAAGTCAAACAAGAAATCAATATGACCGCAGGGTTAATGATGAGTCACAACAAAGTCAACACGAACGTATAAGAGACAACGAATTCCAACAGGTACCTACTCCTTATCAGCACGTTTTCTTTTGAAGATGTTTTGTGTTTGAGACAATATGGGTTTTCCAGCTCCATGGGCTAATCGTTGCTTAAATTTCGAGCTTTTTCAGGATCGAGATGAATATCGTAGAGATGATGGCCCTTTTTCATCACGTCAGGGATCATCTGGAAGGTGTGCTTCCAGCGATTCAGAACTCATTTTTTCTACGAAATCGAGCCCGTGTCCTTCTTAATAAATGAATTTGCAGAGAAAGCCGTATTCGCGAAGAGCAGAACTTTCGATATCGTACAGACCGACACGCTGACAATGGCTATTATGATGCTCGTGAACCATCGCGAAATAGCCGTCCAACAACTGAAAGTGGTCGAAATCTACCCTATCCAGACCTTCCACCGGGGTCGGTATTCAACCGAATTTTCGACGAAAGCTGTATACGACGTCCTCAACATCGGGTATCTTCTCGAAATACGGTGACTGGGGAAATGTCTCCCCCAATTTCACAACGCTTTGGCTATGATAATACCAACAGTCGGGCCTACGCAGATAACGAGCGCACACTTGAAAGTTCCAGCCGGCAACGGAATGAGTCGCGCGACTATGATCGACGGTGGGTGTTCTGGATGTAATACAAACTTTTTATGTTGTAATCGAACTAAATAGTNACCTTCCACCGGGGTCTGTATTCAACCGAATTTTCGACGAAAGCTGTATACGACGTCCTCAACATCGGGTATCTTCTCGAAATACAGTAACTGGGGAAATGTCTCCCCCAATTTCACAACGCTTTGGCTATGATAATACCAGCAGTCGGGCTTACGCAGATAACGAGCGCACATTTGAAAGTGCCAGCCGGCAACGGAATGAGTCGCGCGACTATGATCGACGGTGGGTGTTCTGGATGTTATCCAACTTTTTATGTTGTAAACGAACTAAATAGTCAAAACAAAAGGTTTTTCAGAGAAGACCGTAACAACTGTCGAGATTCCAGCTATCCAGCCCACGTTGACCGTGAGACGGAACATGATTCGAGGAAATCGAGCGTTTCGAACAGGCAAGACAGGTCCGAGTGGGAATTCAATGTATTCCGTATTTTGTTGTTGATTGGCAAACTTTCATATAAAAGTATTTTACAGTCGTCTTCAAAATGTGCAAGCTCCTGTGAATAACGTTAATGAAGCGAGTGACTCGTTTAGGCGTCTAGTAAGTTTCATTATTTACTTTTTTGAGCCGAACTTAAGTAAAGAATGAAGTCTAGTAGCTATACGCGCTTATCGTATTATGCCGCGCATTCAAGTTCAGTTAATGGCGTGTGCTTATTCTGGTGGGACCTCAGTGGATTGAACCATAGCTGTTCACAATCTCAACATTGCTTACGGATAAATAACTATTAAGGGGCTGTATGCACACCCGGTCCACCAGATACCAGGGCTAGGGCGAAATGTGTAAACATATTGCCTCGAAAGCCGAAAACGAATAGAGGCCGCTGTCTTGCTCGTTGTTCTACTTAGTGGTCCGCAGTAGATCCTATGCCTCCTGGACAGGAACAAGAAAGCCTGAAGAAGAAATAAATATTAATTAGAAATCATACAAGAAATTATTTCAGAGAATCGATAGACACTAATTTTGCGTATTCATGTGGATCCATTTTTTCAGAACCAGAGTAGTGCACTGTCGTCACTACAAAGCTTGGAACCGGATGAGCAAGCTTGCTTACGTATGATTCGAGACTTCGCTTTCGTTCATCGAAATGTCATCAGTTCCGGTTTTCGACCGGTAATTTAACGGTTTTCTTTCGTGTTCCAGAAGCTCACTACTAATGCAGAAGAAAAGGATTCATGAATGATTTCAGCTGGGAAGTGTGCTCAGTCTGTTTCCTACCAGCCATGATGTTGACTACTGGGTACAACAAATTCGTGCACATCTTCCAGAAGTCGAGGTGGTACCATTTCGGGACACGGTGCGTTTTTTTATCTATAGCTGACCATTCCTCTCTTATTTCTCAAATTCTTGATTTATTTTTTCTGTTTTCAGTTTGTCGTGGTCTGGAAAGAAGGAGCCAGTTCCAATTAGCTGGAGTCTCATCATTATATG